AAGTCGAGAAGTTGTCATCTGACTTGTCTTTAAAAAGTTGCTTTAGATTCAATCCAAATCCAAAATCCCACCGCCGTGTGTGTTATATGAGTGAGCCAACTAGTTTCTACAAAAGTTATATTTCGCTTAGAACATGTTCACGTAATTAAAAGAAGCATATAAACCCAATAACGGTCATTTAGTGCAAGAAAAAGGTAAGACAGACAGACAGACAGAAAAAAACATAGGAAACTCAAAGAAGTAAGATATTCCAGGGGGTCCCTCCAACCACCCGTGCTAAAATTTTGGTCAAAATGATAATGTATGAGTAGAAGAGCGAAATGTAAGCAATATAATTATTACTTTTCTTCTCCTCCTTTTAAACCAGGTGCCCATTGCGGATGGGATCGGGTCGGGTCCTGTCGGGTCCTGTCGGGAGGATTGTCGGACTCGTCGCCGGAAACAAATACGGGGTGCCCACTGCCCACTACGGATGGGATCGGCCCGTCGGGCGCGATCGGCTTGTGCCACGATAGCCGCTTTGCTGAGAAAGCCAAACGTCAGCTTCACAAATCTCACTATTTTTGTCCAGTTTGGTTCATGACGTTCATTTAATATGAGCTCTAGGTATTATTAAACTGTCGTATTACCTTTTGGGTAAAAATATTGATATGATGTTTGATGTCTGTGTTGTTTGTGAGTTTAGCATTTTGTATCTAAATATGTCAAGAGGTTGGTTATGTTTATTCTCTATGCCTTTTTTTTCTTTTTAGTTAGTGTTTTAAGGCACTTGCAACACAATGAGGTAATATAAGTACCGAAGACTAAAGGCGTTACAAGAGAGTAACAAACATAAAAAGGAGGAGAGAATAAAGATCATAGTTGTTTGATAAGAAAGAAGGAGCAAACCAAACTAAAGCACCCGCCAACCACCCTCCTTCTTTATGTCCTCAGTGGATTGTACTGAACAGAGTGATTGTGAGACCTCAACTTGTCCTTAGAAGTCTCAATTGGTCACTTTTAAGGACAAGCGGGCTAACTCAGATTTCGGGGGTTTCCAGACATCTTGACCTACACCAAAAGTGGGCATTGCCCTGTCTATCGGAGAAGTTTGGTTTCATTGGTGTGTATAATATGTGTTTGGTTATAGAGACAACTCTCGGTGTCTTTAAAAGAAACTGAACAAGGGTCCAAAAATTTTACCTTCGATTTTCTCAAA